CAGTTATTTGAATATGTGTGGTGGGAATATCGCCCCGACGTTGAACAAATTGTGGTCGATGCCCGAGGGGACTGGGATAATTTCAAAGTGGAGATGCAAAGGAAATATAAGCTGGGAGACGGGTTGTTAACAATCGACCAGCTTTATAACATCAACCGAAATGACTTCACCACGATAGGGGCGTTTGCAACAGCTTTTGAGAAAATGGCGAAACGAGTACCGGGGCTTTCAGAAGAAATGCAGTGTGTCATTTTTCTGGGAAAGTTCTCAGGATACGAGACTGTGGAGTTAACCCGGGGAGGAGCACCAGGGAAAAAGACTTCATGAGATACCATAAAGAAAAATTTGGCATCTGGAGACCTGGATCAAGTGTTCCACCATCAAGTAAAGATGGAGAGGAAGAGAAGAAAGGAAATAGGAATCGTCCAAGGTGCTGACTCAGCCTTAGGGGGAGTGTTGAGTAGTATGGTCACTCAACTAAAGGAGTTGAAGGACAAAGTGGAGTCAGGAAAAGTGATGGCAGTTGAACAGGTGACGAATAAGAGAAGACATGAGGAGGAGAGTGATGGAAGTAAGGGGAAAGCGAAAGCTGAAACGGTAACGCAAGGCAAGAAGGCCCAAAAGCAGAATCAGAACCAGACATCAAAGAAACAGGGGACAGGAAAGAGACAAAGTTCACAACAGACTGGGGGAACAAATGTCGCAGGAACATCAGCCCCGGTTCCTCCATTTGGACCATGGCCAGTGGTGGCTCCTATGGGGACATGGCCGGGATATTACCCCGGGAATCAATGGCCGGGTTTTGAACAAATTGGGATGGATCCAAACTTACCCCATATTCAAGGAGCTGGGGTGGGACCATCCCAGGGGCAAGGAGCAAACGGAGGATTGCCACAACAGGCTCTGCCGCCACAAGGTAACCAAGGTCAGTTCCAAGGACAGGGACACGGTCAAGGACACGGTAAAGGGAGAAATGGAGGAAGAGAAAATGACAATGGAGGAAGAGGATTCGGAGGAAGAGGAAACGGTGGACAAGGTGGGAATTGGGGAAATCAAGGAGGAAATCAGGCTGGGAATTTCAATCAGTCAAACTTTAATCAAATTGGACAAGGTTACAACCAAGGTTATGGCCAAGGTTACGGTCAAGGCTATAACCAGAATTACGGTAGAGGTTTTGGAAGGAGTGACGGACAATGGAATGGTCAAGGGGCCGGAAGAGGATGAATAGACTACAACGAGTGCGTATGTACGCACTGTACGATAAAAGGACATACAGTAAGGAGATGTCATGTTAAGAGGATGGATGAGCAAGATGGCTTGATCACATCAAGTATCGACGGTGATGTGTTTGATAAGAGAGGAGATAAGATCGATCCAAACATTCCTGGGGGCACGAGAAAAGAAGCCATTAGAGTCGCAGAGCTTAGACCCAGCGCCCCTGCCATGTTTCGTATATGGCAGGAGAAGGAAGACCCTTTTATCTGGGTGGAGGAAGTTGATGAACTAAGTGACCAGTTGAAGAAAGGAGCGAGGATTAGCCAGGAAAAAGAGAATACGCCACTAGTCGAAATTGAGCCAGACGAAGATATTGTAGTTAGAGAGTCAGCAAGGGAAACCCTGGGAAAAATGGAAGACATGATAGATAAGATGGGTAGGTTAAATGTGAAAATGTCTGACATCTGCGAAGAGGTAAGGAACTTGGAAATGAGGGTGCCGCATGTATTCACAATGAGTCGAGAAGAAGAAAATGAGGAGCCTAGAGCTCCTAACCCCAGAGCATTAAGAGTTACTCTGGCGGCTGGTTTGGAAGCTGCTTACCAAGCACTGAGGAACTTTGTTCCTCATACTGCACGAAGACCTAAAGGAGGAAGCGCGCCCAAGGAACCAGCGCAGGCTCCTGTACCACCTCAAGGGGGAATCTCTATTGAAATAGAGGTAGAGGAAGAGGAGGAACGTGATGAGTTGCCTAAGGAGGACGAGAACTGAAGGCTAAAAGACGGAAGATTGATGGTAAGGAAGGAAAGGAAAAAGCTGGGGAGAAATCAAAGAAGAAATGGAAGTACCAGACGTCGATTGAAGAAGGAGTTGATCTGAAGAATCTGGTAAATAAGCTTCTTGAGGGACATAATAAGTTGTTAAATTTAAAAGAGATTTTGGCAGCTGCACCTAAGCTCAGGGAACTGGTAAAAGCTAAACTGGCAAGAAAGAGAGTAGCGACGGTAAGGATGGGCGACCTGATCCCCAAGGAAGCCAACTGAACTGTGGCAGGGAGTAAGATGGATTGGAAATTTATGGGGACAGGGTCCATAGATGTCAATATCAGAGGGAAAGGATGTCCTGGGATGTTGGACACGGGAGCAGAGATGAATATTATGAATCTTGAAACGGCTGAGATGCTAGGGTTGGAGATCGATAGGAGGGACTCAGGTTACCTCAATGGGGCTAGTGGAAAATCAGGCTACGTAGGGATTGCCTCAAATGTAGTTGTGGAAATAGGAAGCGTTAGGGTCCGATCTTGCTTTTACATAATGCCTCCCTTGGATCTTCCTATATTACTGGGAAGGTCCTTCTTGTCGCGAACAGAGTCCCTTATCATGAACAAGCATGACGGGACCATGTACGTAATTTTATGTGATCCCGCTCATGGTAATTTCGAGGTCATTACCTGTAAGAACACAGACTCTCATAGCTCGAAGAACCGACTCAATGCTGGGTCATATACCTTCGAGGAATCTGAGAATAGAAGGAGAGAATTAGAGTGGGGGCTTGATGAGGATGAGGAAGAGGAAGAGAGTGGAGGATTAGCCCTGAGCCTGGCCAACATCGACCAAGCCATGTATATGGTATCCGCGTACGATATGGCAGAACAGAGGCCATTCGAGCATTAGCTGATAAGTTGTATGATTTCCCTGAAGGGGGGAGGATGAAGTTGGTATACAGGTCACCCCCTAGGGAAGAGAAAGTGCAAGGACCCTATGATCAAGCATGCGGCCAACATTTTTTAGGGGTGGGCTCAAGCAAGGGGGAAAGAGGAGGTACAAGATGGTAGACAAAAAGAGTCACCCTGTTCCAGTCTTAGTGACACATGAGGAGGGAGTATACTATGAGCAGGAACGAGAATTGATTAGGCAAATGAGAGAGAAATGGGAAATAGAATCATGTCGTATCAATGAGGAGACTGAGAAAGACCTGATCATTGGTGAACCTGAGTTCTTAACCAAGCAAGAGAGGGCGTTAGTAGTTGACTTAATGAAGGAAAAACACAGCGCCTATGCCTTCAACGATGAGCAGAGGAGAAGGCTGGATGTGGACAAGATAGGGATGATCCGAATTCACACAGTCCCGCATCAACCTTGCAATGTTAGAGGAGCCAGGTCTCAAAATTCCGATGATCAGAGAAGGGTGGTAGAGTACCTTGACGGGAAGATTGGTTCTCACGTAGCAGGATTCTCTAGCGGACTTTATGCCTCACCATGGTTCTGCTTCATCAAGCCAAATGGAGTACTCAGGTGGGTGCAAGATTTGCTAAGATTAAATGCTGTAATGGTTAGGGATTCTGGAGGGTTTCCTAACGCTGACCAACTCTCTACAGCCTGTGCTGGAAGGTCCATTATCTCGCTCATAGATCTGTACTCCGGTTATGACCAATTCCCAGTGTATCCGGCAGATAGGCCGATCACGGCGATGCACACTCCGAGGGGATTGATTCACATGAATGTGGCACCCCAAGGATGGACGAACGCAGTAGCCATGGTGCAAAGGAGTATGGTGAGAGTCATGCAGTCAATCAGTCCACAGATTACTGAACCATACATCGATGATCTAGCAGTAAAAGGCTCTATGGTGAAAGATAAGCAAGAGGTTGCGTCTGGCGTAAGGAAGTTTGTTTGGGATCATGTCAATGATCTCAGGAAGGTACCCAATTTGTTACAGGAATATAATCGTACGGCTAGCGGAGCTAAGTCCAGGCATTGCATGAGTGAGGGTACTATATTGGGCTTTGTGTGCAACAAGCAAGGACGTCGTCCAGACACCAAAAAAACGAATAAGATCCTTGAATGACCTACACCATTCAGGAACGTTAGCGAAGTAAGGTGTTTTTTTGGGACGTGCGGGTTCTGAAAAATTTTCATCGAACGGTTTGCTGCAAAGACTGAACATGTGAGGAAACTGGTTAGAAAGAACCAAAAATGAGAATGGGGGGAGAGGCAGGAACAAGTGGTGAAGAGTTTGAAGGAATAATTTAAAGAAGGAGGTCTTGTGTTGGGGGTCCCTGATTATGAAGCTGTTGCAGAAAGACCTTTTATCATAGAGACTGATGTTGGACCCACAACTCTGGGAGGAGTCCTCATACAGGCAGATCTGAAAGGGAAGGAAAGGTCTTTGCGTTTTGAGAGTCGAACCCTTAATACTACTGAGCGGAACTACTCTCAATTCAAAAAGGAAGTCTTGGACGTACTGCACTGCTTGCGTATCTTTAGGCACTATCTCTATGGGAGAAGGTTTGTCCTGAGGATAGATTCAACTGCCCTTGTATATTCTGTCAAAAATTTCGCACCCACGGATCCTACTATCGCAAGATGGCTCACGTTCATGTGGATGCTCGATTTCCAATTGGAACATATCCTAGGGAACAAGAACAAGGCTGATGGATTAAGCACGATAGAGTGGGAAAAGTCTGGGGATGCAAAGGAAGAGACTCCACCAGTGGATGGATTCCTAGATGAAGATGATAGGCAGCTCCATGTGAATTCATGGAGACTGAGTGTTAATAATAGGGATGCAAGGAGAGGAAAGTCCATGTGGTACGCCCCAACAACTTTTGTAAAGGTTGATGGGTTGGTGTGTGAATTCATGGAGACTGAGTGT